TTGGTTAAAACCCCGGCCCATGCTCGTCATAAGTGGCCAGGTGAGCTCAGGGTGGGTAGCTGGGGCAGGGCGGGGCGAGCAGGGGCCGCGGCATATCAGCAGCACAAACACAAGGCTGACGAGTCTCCCAAGGTAAACCAACCAACGCTCTCTTCCCCTCTCCTCTGTCTCTCCATCTCTCCATCGCCCCCTCCCCCCTCTGGCTTTCTCTCTCTCTCTCTCCCTCTCCGGACGCCCCGGTGCCCTCGCTGGTGGCGGGAATTTTAAACCCACAAGGCGCCTATCCTATCCGGTGGCGTTCCTTATTACAAGGCCCTCCCTAACCCACCCCGCCCCGACTGCTTGGCTCGCTCCTTGGCGTTCCGTTAGACCAGGTGCTCCCCGCCGCCGCACCTCACCCTCACGTGGCTATCGGGGCGGGGTGGGCAGGTGAGTGAGAGAGCGAGAGAGAGAGAGAGAGAGAGAGAGAGAGAGAGAGGGAGGGAGAGCGATCGAGAAAGCGGGGGGAGGGGCGGCACACGGGGCGGCACGCTCACAGGGTTTGCGTGTCACGTAATCCAAACGGCCGCCAGGACCCCCGCAGGCTGCCACGGAACCACGGAGCCACGGAGTGAGCTGGCATCCAGCGGGGCGTGGCGGGGCGGGAGCAGGGCGCGGCGGGGTGCGGCGGTCCAGAGAGCCCCAGGTGAAGAAGCAGAGCACACCGGCCTGATCTTCTCTCTCTCTCTCTCTCTCTCTCTCTCTCTCTCTCTCTCTCTCTCTCTCTCTCTCTCTCTCGCGTTACCTAATCGCAGTGGGCAGCGAGCACAGGCCAGGCCGCAGGAAACTTTCACCTTGAGGAGGCTGCACCCCCGCGGCTCCGCCTGGCTCCGCCTGGCTCCGCCGCCCCCAGGCCCACCCCGGCCCACCCCAAGCGAGGCCCTCTTCCTCCCCAATCACCAGCAGGGCCGCGCGGCAAACATGTCGGTCAGCATGCGTTATTTGCACTGAGATTTGTCTCTGTTCTGTTTCTGTGAGAGCCGCTCATTTATCACGTGATAACGTCGTTTTTGAAAAGTAACAAATTTCTATCAAACTTAAGAGGTAAGTTTTGTTCGATCTTTCAGTTTTTTAAACAGCAAAAGTACCTCATCCTAAACTGGTGTGACGTTCAAGATCGTACGCTGTCAGCTGCCTTGTGTTTGCCCTTGCCGCTGGCCTGGCTTGACTCCTCACTGCTGCTGCTGCTCAGCTCAGAAACATCACGTCGCTTTCGGGTCTTAACTTTCGCGACATTTGTTCTGTGCGCGGCGAGGAGC